GGTCTTCCTGAGCTAGATGCATCCAGCTTTCCTGTAGGTCTTACAACTGCATCTTTGAATCTGCTCACACTACTTCCAGTGACCAAGGGAGCTGTTCTTGTAGAACCAGAGCAAGAGTCTCCTGTGAACTGTTTCTGAGCTCTGGGAAAGTAGATGCTTTGTTCTGAGCATCTGCTAGAGGGAGGTAGTGAATTATCTATGATCTGAATGTTTGAAGTGAATCACTCTCAGGCTCACTGATGCTGGCACTAACATAGAGGGCATGTTTTATACTGGTGAACTTGCACAGGGTTAGGACAGGCTCTGCTGTGATGCACGTACAAATAACCCTTTGCTCAGCTGTTCTCTGTAAGGCAAAAAGGCAGACAGGAAAACCCAGTTTCAGCAGCTCACACCCAAACCTGGAATTTGTTTCAGCTCCTTTTATTAGTGGCTGCCTCTCAGAATTCCTGTCCGTTACTATTTCCTTCTGAGGACAAAGGCATGAATTACACTGCTGGAAAACAGCAGAGCTGCAAATCCTGCAGCTTATCCTGGCAACATGACATGTTTGCAGCTACCCAGGTTCTGATGGCTGAGAAGGGATTACTTCATGCCATGCAGACGTGTTTTTTGAGACATGTTCATTTACAAGCTAGAATCAGGAAGTCACCAAAGGCACGTGAACAAGCAGAGACCCAGCATTACTGTCTGCCTTAACACTCAGAGGTGCTGCTTCCAGAAATAACATTAATTTTAAGAGTATAGGGAAGAGTGTGAGGGTGGGCTGATTCTATCAAAATGTGCCTTTTTGAGCCATGTCAATTTATTAACCAGCCTCTGCTGGCATTTGAAGCTGTTTGAATCTGGTAATAGGCTGTATAGCAAGAAACATTTGTGTCATGTGCATTGAAGATTGGCATGCCCCAATTTTTACATGGTGGGAACATTAAACTTCTTTCCTGCATTGCTGAATGCACCAATAGGCTGTAGCTAGTATTTTAGTCTGAGGAGTTAGAGGAGTCAGGAAGAAAAGACAGCACAGCACCACACTGCAATTTCATTAATTCCCAAAGCCACAGCAGGAGACAGGGAGATGGGAATTAATCACAGCAGATGGAGACATAAAGCTTGCTTAAGTCCCCTTCACCCCCAACAGGCTTCCTTTTTCTTCCCCTCCTCCCTGGTATACCCTGCAACAAAGCCTATAACTATCACCAAAAAAGGAAATTCCTGAGCTTGTTTAACTAGGCTGTAAGATGTAACACTCAACCTAAACCTGACATTTGGCCTTATTGAAACTCATACAATTGGCCTTAGCCCATTGATCAAGCCTGTCCAGATCCCTCTGCAGAGCCTCTCTGCCCTCAAGCAGATTGACACTTCTACCCAGCTTAGTTTTATCTGCAGACTTACTGAGGGTGCCCTCTATCCCCTCATCCAAATCATCAATGAAGGTGTTAAACAGGAGCAGCCCCAGCACCGAGCCCTGAGGAACACCATTTGGGACTGGCCCCAAACTGAATTTAACCCCTTTTAACACAACTCTTGACACAGCCATCTAACCCATTTTACATCCAGCAAAGTGTGTGCACATACAAGCCATGAGAGGCCACCTTCTCTAGGATAATGCTGTGGGAAACCCTGTCCAAGGCCTTGCTAAAGTCAAGGTAGACATCATCTACAGGCTTTCCCTTGTCCAATAAGCAGGTCTCCGTGAAGAAGATTTCAGAGAAGAGCAGTAAGCAAACTGTGCTATGCGTATCACTTAAAATCATTCTTAATTTCTCATTTGGAACCACTGAAAAGAGAAATACTAGCAGCTCCCCAAATGCTGGAAAGGGTCACCTGTGGGTCTGCTGGGAAGCAGCCACACTACCAAGAATGAGACTGAAACTCTTTTTTCTTCTTTCATTAGTTGACGTTATATCCCCTCTGTCTTGGCCACTACATACAGACTGGGAAAATGACTCAAAAAGATCACAGATAGCATGGTAAAAAAAAAGCCCTGGTTTCACCCTGTTATCTACTTCTTGAATTCACAGCCTTTTACATCCTTTCTGCACAGTTCGAGTGCAAGGCAGGAGAGAATCAAGCTCAGCTCTTGTTAAAAGAATGTGAAATTAAAGTCTGGAAAGTCCAATAAAACCAAAGTGTTAGTACCTCCTACCAGACAGGTTTTCTTGTGTATCTCTGGGGGCGGTCCTTTTATTCCTGTTTATAGAATGGTTTGGGTTGGAAGGGACCTCAAAGATCATCTAGGTCCAACCCCCTGCCATGGGCAGGGACATCTTCCACTAGGCCAGGCTGCTCAAAGCCCCACCCAACACTTCTTGAACACTTCCAGGGAGGGGGAATCCACAGCTTCTCTGGGCAACCTGTGCCAGTGTCTCACCATGCTCACAGGAAAAAGTTTCTTCCTAATATCTAAGTTAAATCTACTTTCAGCTTAAATCTATCTTCAGCTTAAAACTGTTACCCCTCATCCTATCACTATATGCCCTTTTAAAAAGTCGTTATAAAATTTAAAAAATTAAGTTTTAAAAGTCCTTTTAAGTCCTTGGACAGTCTAGATTGATGGGCAGAGATCACTTGCATGAACTTCAACAAAGCCAAGTGCCAAGTCCTGCACTTTGCCCACAACATCCCCCTGCAACGCTACAGCCTTGGGGAAGAGAGGCTGGAAAGCTGCCCAGCAGAAAGAGACCTGGGGGTTCTGATGGACAGGCAGCTGAATATGAGCCAGCAGTGTGCCCAGGTGGCCAAGAAGGCCAATGGCATCCTGGCCTGTATTAGAAATAGTGTGGCAAGCAGAACCAGGGAGGTGATTGTCCCTCTGTACTTGGCATTGAGGTGCTGGAGTGTGTCCAAAGAAGGGCAACGAAGCTGGTAAAGAGCCTTGAGAACAAGTCATATGAGGAGTGGCTGAGAGAACAGGGGTTTTTTAGTCTGAAGAAAAGGAGGCTGAGGGGAAAACTCATTGCCCTCTGCAGCTACCTGAAAGGACGCTGTGAACAGGCAGGTGCTGGACTCTTCTCACAAGTAACTGGTGATAGAACAAGAGTGAATGATCTCACACTGTGCTGGGGAGGTTTAGATTAGACCTTTTGCACTGAAAGGATTGTCAGACATTGGAACGTGCTGCCCAGGGAGGTGGTTGTGTCACCATCCCTGGATGTGTTAAAAAGTAGTCTTGGGACACATGGGAAGATGGTTTGGGAACATGCATGGTTTGGAATATTTAAATATATACTCAGAGATTCGGTAAAATGTGAGCTGTAAATTTGTTCAGGTTTTCTAGTCAAACAAACCTGACCCTTCTGGACTTCCTTTGCATAGTTTTAGGAATAATTAACAAGATCCAAAGTCATTATTATTCAGTGAAAAGTTTTCTTTGGTGAAATGACCGATCCTGAGAAGTGTGTAAATGACACTGCATGTGCACACAGCAGGTCCCTGTCAGACAAAGGCCATTGCTGCCACCTGCTGAGGAAGAGAGAAAACGGGACAAAAACGGCCAAGTGTCAAAAGATATGTTCCTGTTGGCCATTTCAGGGAGAAATCCCAGCATTGGTGATGCCAGGAAACCCAGCTCCCCAGTATCAAGGAGAAAAACTGAAATCCACACTTTTTTCTTCATCTGCTCCTAGAAGAAAACTGAAAGAAAACAACACAGCTCAGTGCTTCTTACAGTTTTCAGGTGGTCAGGTTTAGTGCACTCGGCTGCAGGGACGACGCAAACACCTCCCAGGGCACTGCTGTCACTTCATGCCGGCGTTTCTGCCCCGTGGCAGCAGCACAGGCCCCACGGCCACAGCCCGCACGGCCACTCTGTAATTCAGTGGGAAACGAGTTAGGAATCGTCTGGGCAGATTCCGTTCTAAGTAGGGTCCTTCCAAGCTGCCTGTGCTTCCCAGCAGCACGGACACACCAACTCCCAGTGCTATTCACGGCAGCGGCGGCTCCGACGGGGTCCCCAGGCGCGTAGAAACGCCCGGGCGGTCCCTCCTGCTGACACAGGCCTGTGGCCTGGGCCCCCGAGGAGCTGCTTGGGGAGGGGGGGAGCCTTGCGGGAGCCACAGCAGCGCCCGGGATGTGCCGCCCTCGCCCCGCCGGGGCTGCGCGGGGCTG